AGCGGGACATTTCAACGCTGAAAGAACGTAACGAGTCGCCCCCCTCGACCCCTGTCGGGGGAAAGCGCGGAAGAGGCCCGAGAACCGTCCGCCGAGGGCCCCAGAAAAAAAATCGTGGGATGATAGAAGCGCGACTACTCACCGGAGTTCAAAGAAGAGAAATCCTACAAAGACGAGAGACCAGTGGAGACAATCGATCTTGGAGGGTCTGATGACAGGCACAACACACCCCAAGCGGAAGAAGAGGAGGAACACGACCGTTCCACACCAAAGAAGTCAGACGGTGCGGAGGATGAGGAGGGGGGAAACGAGGGAGACGACAGCGGTCCTTCCCGCGGGCAGTCGCAAGACACCGACGAGGACGACAACAGCGACGGCAAATCAGCCAGCCAGAGTACCGGCGAAGACCAGAGCGCCGCTTCGGAAGGAGATGATTCGCCATCTCTTTCGAGGACGCTGCGCAGCGAAGGAGAACGACAGGCACGCAATGGCAGCAACACTGAGGATCGTGTCGGTGACAGACAAATCGTGCAGCACGTGAGCGTCACTGGAAAAGGTAAAAAACCCGCGTCGCACTCGCTCCCCTCCCACTCACGAGCAGCTAATTTCGTGCCCCCACGGGGCGCAAGCCTTCACGCACGGAAAAGGGTTTTAGTGAACGCACTGTTGATAGCCGAATCTTCCAATTACCAAGTGCTGTATTCAGAACAAGGCGCCGAGTTGCTAACACTATCCTGTGCGTTGTGTCTTGTGTTTCCCTGCCCATCGCAACGTCAGGAACGAAAGCGCGCGCAAGGGGCATAGCGGCGCAAGGACTCAACGAGGAGGGCGCTGTATTAGCGAAGAAAATGAAGGGCAAGTTGTTGCGTTCCGTCGCCAAAGCCTTTGCGTTCTCTTCGGCAAACGACGCAACTCTGTACCCTACAGAGGACACGTTTTTCGCGGCGATGCAAGCGACGGTCAAACTGGCAGGGGGGACAGCAGAGGAAGGGTTGCGGTCTCACATTGCAGAGCGCGGGATTCGAGCTGTCATAGGGGAATGCAACAGAATTATGACGACGATCCGAGGAGAGATTACCTGGCAGGCGAAGCATTGGTTCTGGGCAGAAAAAGGGATTCCGCTAGTCGGATCGCAGCAATCGGACCACCACCTCCCCGCTCGCAACAAGATGCGCGGCGAGATGAAAGAGAACAAGACATGGAGACGGAGCGGCGACGATCCGTGGGGCGCCCCCGCCTTCAAGACGGCACTCTTAAAAGTTTTCCAAATGAGGAAGGAAGGACGAAACCTCGGCGTCACCCTGCAGCAACTCGCTTTCGCGGAGATGGTCATTCAATGTGAGATAGAACAGACAACGAAGACGACACGAGCTGCGGAGCAGATAGAAAAATTGGTATCTATAAAGCAGGCAATCGTGTCATCTCTACGAGCGCGCGAGACGGTAATGAGTTTTTCCGTCTTCAAGCTGGACAAATCCGTATCCGTGGCTGAGAAGGCAGCAGTCCTCTTTCGCTGTGGCACGCCGTGTGACGACAGGCCTGGCCTCCTAAGGACCACAATAACGGATGACGATTACGACGTCGAATACATTCTCCCTCAGAGTACATCAGCCGGCGGCGGGGGGGCGCGCACCGACAGTTTGTGCGCCGCACCCTGAAAATTTAGAGACAGTTTGGCTACATTTCGACATGGAAGGGAGGATGCTGGGCAATGACCAAACGGTGGAACGGAAGGTTCTTTTTGTAGACGTTTCGAATCAGGAGATG